TAAGACAGACCGTACGGGACTGTAGAAACCGTGTAGCTACAGCGTCCTGCACCCGAGTGGTGTGGTAACTGGGAAACTCTCAACAGCTGCCACTCGAGTAATCCTTCGCCCCTGCTAAGTGAGGGATACGAAAAGACTCTACCATTCCCACACTGCCTACCCCCTTCTACGTGAAGATGAGTATCACGGAATATCAGGATGGACCAAGCCAGCATTAGCATGCCAAGTCATACTTTACAAAAACTTCAATAATCAATCATATCTGAGACGTCTCCTTGGACCGCTCGTTAAAATCCATTCCAATAATTCGTTCAAAATATCATTCGTCCATATTAAACATTTCTCATATTCACATTTTCATTCTATGTTCCACTTTCTTAAATACACGAACGTTCATCACTCAATCAATAGGACTAACATGTTACAGTATCCTACATCCTCGTTCTGAACAAAAGAAACGAACCATATCCACTCAATACGTTTCAACACTTAAAAATTTGAAGGTACTGATCTTAGAAGATATGGATGATACCTTAGAAAAATTTTAAGTATAAAGACTCCAGTAGATCCAAAGGATACAGTCAGTAAGAAAATATTAGATACACAACCAATATGATTGGATTTCAGAAAACACACACTGCCAGTCAACGAACGAACGTAATTAACCAATTTTGGACGAACGCCCAGTTACGTTCGCTCAGAATTCAATGATAAGGACGAGCGTTCAGTTATAAAACCGAACCTCCTTGGACGAACGCGGTCAATGACCGAGCCCAAATCAGAACGAACGCTTGGTATAAACGAGCGCTATCTGGACGAACGCTTCGGTATAAGACGAGCGCCAATTGGGACGAACGTTCAATATAATGACGAACGCTCTTGTAAACGAACGTTCGACACAAGTCTAACGACACTTAAGGACGAACGCTCGACTTAAGGCCGAACGTCACTATTTATAAAGTTTCAATATTATCTATACTGAGATGAAACGAAACGCTCATTCACTAAATTGGGACGCTCGTTCTCGAGCAGAATTCATTCCAAATGAACGAATTCCCAACTAAGTTATTTTAAGAAAAACCGGAACGGTCTATGACGTACAGTGACGAGCGTCATTCATAAAAGGGAAGTTAAAATTCCAGAGTTCTCAAACTTAACAGAATTTTCCAGATTCATTTTTCCAACTTTAAAACATTCATTCCAGATTTAATTCACCTTCAACATTTCATTCATACAGTTTCAATATCCAAATCCTTCCAAATATATCATAAACATACTCCATTCAACATAATCATTCAACATGCTTTTTAATCAAGATCAACAACATATATCATACATAAAAGTCAGTGTTCATCCATAACAGATCAATCAAAACCAAATTCATATCAGATCTCAGTAACCATTCATAACAGATCAACTTCATGAAATTCATACATGCACAATAACAGTGATCATCCATACAACTCAAATCTTATATCTTCATTCATGCAACTCAATCATTCAACATACAGTATAAATAAACCATATAAGCTTCCCTTACCCGGATTGCAGTGACTTTACAGTATAACTTGCTTCTGTCCAACTAGGGCTTCTACCGCATAACGCTCTTCCTTAGCGCTCAACTAGGTTTAACCAAAGAGAACTCAGAAACTCAGATTTTATTCTTTGCATGCAACTGAAACAGTGTTCCTAGAATCTAGATCTCGGTTATGGTTTGGAACTTACCAGTTACAGGATCAAAAGAGGTTCGATCAAAACGAAATTACTGGCCCGTGAACGTTTCTATGGTTTCAGAAACTGATTGAAGTTGAAAGAAGTGAGAAAATGGTAGAGAGAAGATAGAGTTCTTAGTGAGAAGTTGGAGAGAATGGAAGGTTCCTAGAGAGAAGGGGGGAAGTCGTAGAGAGAAGGAGGAGAGAAAGAATTTTCCAGAATCAAGAAAGGAGTGTGCGTGTAGAGCGAGGGATGATTTTTCTGAGAATGCATGCCTTGTTCAGTGCCGAACGAACGTCCGTCCTCGTCGCCACGTGCATTCCACTAACGTTTTCCAAGATTCCACTCGCCTGGACACCTGGCGTTCTCTAGTGACTGTCGTGCTCTCCGAGTGACACGCAAAACTGCGCTGCGTTTTCCCCACTCCAAACTCCATGCAGCGTGACACCTGGCGCAAGCTTTGGAATGCCTCCCTCTGCCGCCACGTACGCTGTTGAAGTGTCTAGTTCTTCAGTTTGCCACGTGACTCCAATGTACGTTATTTTCCAGGGTCTTACATTCCCTCCAACTACAAAAATTTCGTCCTCGAAAATCTAGGTATATAAGTGTAGACGGAGTTACTTTGTCCATGCTAAGCAAACCTTCAACTTATCTTGTAATGTCGTCATCTTCTCGTTCCAGACACTTTCACCCATCTGATGGATTTTCACTTGAACACTAGAGGGGTATACTCCAATACCTACTGGTTGGATTTATACAATCGTTATCCTTAAATACGAACGTGTTCTAGTCCTTCTAGTCTACACATCAGACGAGTCTCCAATATAAACCAAGTGACGATGCGTGAAAACTAAATGAGGATTAGCCAATGAGAGACAATGATATCTTCATACGCTACCGTCCCAAAGCGTCTACAATCCAAGAACATCGGCAGCAGCTTCCTGACAAGTGACTTCGTCCCACACACATGTTTAGCAATTCTTCAATGTTG